CCTGCCCACGGGCCGTATAAGGCCCGAGAAATCGTGTGGTCTGACCCTTCTAAGGCATTAGGGGTGAGTTAATTAAATGTTTGACCAAACATAGCAGGCTCATTTTTTAATTGATAAATTTGTATGCCCTTGAATGATGTTATAAATATCCAAATGGCCCTTGGCAGATAAAAGTTTCCCCACCTCTGTTGTAAAGTGTCTCTTTCTGGGAAGGCCACTCTAGTATCCTAATGGCACTAGGAATGGTCCCTGAGTAGACTGTACCCAGTTGGTGAGCACCCTATCTCTGGGTAGGAGAGAGATAGTAGGAGAGCTGTGGTCAGCATGTCTGCTTCTGTTTCCTCGAGCTTCTTCATATGAAACTTCCTAGTAACAGATTAGAAGTACTCATTCTGATACTTCAGTGTTCAGGCATTTATTTCCCTCCTGACAGACAAGTTTCCCCAACGTCAGTTAACCTATAGGGATATTTCAGCACATCCATGACAAGTCTTGTACAATTACTGAGCTGCTTAATATGAAACTTCCTGCCCAATGGGAATGGAGAAACACATCTGTTTTATTTGTTGTTACACTGGGCATCGCGCCCATGCTGAGAATTTCCAGTGCGGAAAGGAGAACTGAACCAGTGTTTGGTGAAATTGTACCTGGTGAGAGATGTACCCAGCACTCCCTATGCATTCATGCTCCTCCCTAGACAGGGAGATTCGGCAGTGAATGCTACACACTTTACAAAACGCGCCAATGTGGGTAATTCTTTTAGGGTGTTTCAGAATCAGATAGGGCCCTAGCCAGTTTGGCTCAGTGGATAGAGCATCAGCCTGCAGACCAAGAGGTCCCAGGTTCGATTCTGGTCAAGGGCGCGTACCTCAGTTGCAAGCTCCTCTCCCACCCCCCGGCCCTGGTTGGGGTGCATGCAGGAGGCAACCAATCACTGTGTCTCTCTCACATTGGTATTTCTCTGTCTTTCCCTTTTTCTTCCACTCTCCCAAAATCAGTGGAAAAATATCCTCAGGTGAGGATTAAAAATAAAAAATAAAAATCAATGGAAAAATATCTTCCAGTAGGATTAATTTAAAAAAAAAATCAAATAGGCGGTGGTAGAGGCATTTTTCATGGCAAAGTGGTTTCAAGGTCAGGAAAACACATCCTCTGCCAGGCTGTTAGACCCTCAGCCCTGCCGTACCCTGAAGTCCCCTGGAAACTTGGGGTTTGCATCTCAGAGGACTTTTGCTGCCCAAGCTTCACAACCGTTTCGTTCTCTGGAAACACAAGCCTCCCCAGAGGCTGAACAGTCCAGCTAGAGTGGGTAGAAAGGATTGAAGAGGGCAAGAGGCTTTGAGGAGCCTGTTCCATGGCTCCAGTACCACCCAACCTTCCCTTTCGTGCTCACTCCCTTGGTAAGCTAACTTTTTCTCCTCTCTGCCTTTCTAGCAGTTTCTACCTGGGGTAACTTTCTGTTCTTTGACTTGAGTGGAATTTAAGAAACACAACACCAAGCCATCAGGGGAGGACAAGAATCAGCCCCAGGCCCTAACTGGTTTGGCTCAGTAGATAGAGCGTTGCCTGCGGACTGAAAGGTCCCAGGTTCGATTCCGGTCAAGGGCATGTGCCTTGGTTGCGGGCACATCCCCGGTGGGAGGTGTGCAGGAGGCAGCTGAGCGATGTTTCTCTCTCATCAATGTTTCTAACTCTCTATTCCTCTCCCTTCCTCTCTGTAAAAAAATCAATAAAATATATATTTAAAAAAGAAAAGAAAAAAAAGAATCAGCCCCAGGGCATAAGACTGACTGGGCATGAATGCGGCTGAGCCACTGGGCAGGGTCCAGGTTGAGGCTCAGATATATGCATGAACCAGGTGGGAGCAGACAGGGAGGCTGAGTGTCAGGCCTGAGAGCTCCTGGTTTATCAACAGGAGAACTTGGAGCCAATTCCCAGCCCAGCTGGGGTGGGAGAGGGTCCATTTGCAACTGGGATAAGGCCCAGTAGAGGCATACAGGAGGGTGTCTAGGGGTAGAGAGGAGCCCTAAGGAGGTTCCCCAGATCCTTGGTATGTTGCCCTGTGGCTGCTCATCATTGCAGGGCCTGGGGCCTGGGTGCACCTGGCTGTGGCGACCACATGGGCAAGGGTTCCTAAGGCTAAGGCCCGGGAACCATTGTCCAGCCATACAGAGCCACTGGCCTCCGTCCTGCCTGGTCTTGAAAGACCCCTCACCCTAGACAAGGGCGTTGCTAGAGTGCTGCCATCTCCCCCGCCTTCGAATCCCAAAGCATTTATTGTTTTCTCTGATATCATTTAGCTCATCTGACCTTCTGCACAGTCAGATGTCTTTTAATCATTTTTACTGTGAAAATATCACAGCTACAGAAAGGTGCATAAGATATAAATGTTCAGGTTAGTGAGCTATTACCCAGAGCGCCACCATGCAACCACCCCCAGCTCAGGGAGAGGAGCCCTCCCAGCTCCGAGAGCTCCCGCCAAGTTGCCCTTTTAGAACTTAATCCTCTTCTTCCTCCCTGAAGATAGCCACTCTGCTGATTTTTACAGGCTTTTGTCTTTTTATTTTATTTTATTTGCATTTTCTTACCATTTTATTGCCTTAGGACGCATTCCTGAACAGTAGGCAGAGTTCCTTTCTTCACGTATGTTTTCCTACTCCAGTTATTGGGAGGAAGGCCCTCCCAGGGAGGGAGTGCAGGGGCCTTGGTGGGGGAGGAGGGGGCAGAAGGGCCTGAAGAGGGTGAGAGGGACAGCCAGGGGAGGAAGTGACCACTAAATAAAAGGGAGGGAGGGAGGGAGGGAACGGAGGAAATAGTTGTATAAAAGCTTGGGAACTCCCAGAGGAACTCTCCTGAAAATACAGTCCTACTCCCAGCCTCAAACCCAGCTGCCTGGCTCTCTCCTTAATCTGAAACTGTCTGTCCCCTGAGACGTATGCTTACTGAGTACTCGCTGCCCGGGCTTCTGTGTCCTCCAGGGCCCTCCCTTCCTGAGGGAGAGGCAGCTTAGTCCTAACTCCCCACCTCTCCCCACTGTAGCCTCAGACTCTCCCCTCCTTCCTACCACTCATGGCTGGTTCTGCACCCAGGGACAGGTGCGATTTAGGGGAAAGTCAGGGTCAGAGAAGCACCCTCCCACCTGGAGATGCTGAGTCCAGGGTGAAGGCTACATGCGCTGGGGTCTGCTTCATTTTACAGAGAGGCCATGCCCCAGGCTCAGCACCGCTGCCCCGCATGCTCCCCGGCTCTGAATGCTCGCTGAACACTCCAAAACCCATCCTTCCGCACCCACCGGCCTCTGGTGGTCTTCTGGGGGTTGCTCCTGTCTCCCAGTGGGACAGGGAGCTCTTCTGGAGCACAGCATGACGTCCTGTGGCTGCGGGGGCATCCACACAGGACCGTGTGGGCAAATGCGGCGGGTGGTGGAGGGGAGAGGTTAACAGATGCCAACTTTGGGTCACATGCCCCCCCCCCCCAAAGCGTTACATATTTTTTGTTCTCTACGCAGACATCGTCAACTGTGACCTGAAATCCACGCTGCGAGTGTTGTACAACCTCTTCACCAAGTACCGGAACGTGGACTGAGGGGCAGACCGCACCGTCCTCCGAACCACCTTAACCTGCTTATTCCTGCCTTCCCTCTGTGCCATCCCACAAAGTCCAGCCACAACCCAGAAATCATGGGACCTGAATTAGGAAGGAAACGATCAGAAACTCCGGGCTGACCCACACCTCCCTCTGTCACTTGGGAACCACCTTAGGTCCAGGAGACACACACACACACACACACCCCAGAAGATGAAAATAGAGATAATAGTTACCATTTAATGGGTGTAAACTATGTTCCAAACATCACACTAAGTGCTCTGATGTACTCAAACTCATTAGTTCTCGTGACTTCCGCTGAAGCCGGTGTTATACACCCCTTTCCCAGATGAGGAAAAGGCTCAGAGAGCTAAAGAGACTTTCCAGGACTTGGCATTTATTTTTCCTCTTTGAACAATATATGTATTTGTTAATAACTAGCCAATTACATCAGCGTTCTCTGCCTGTCCTATAGTTGTATGTGTATGTGTGCACGCACACCCACAGAGAAGACAGGCGCCCACTGACCTCCCCACCAAGCAGGCCAGGAGGGCTTAGTGATTCACACTCAAATTGGCAAATTTAATCCAATTAATAGTGTATGTGTGGCAGGAATCATGTCCCTCAGCTCCTTTGTACAAATGAAAATTACTCTTAATTCCTTCAGATTTGTAATAACCCCATGCTCTGGTTTCAGGGTGACATTTGGGAAGGATTCTGTTTAAAATTAATGGAGTGGCACATTTCACAACCTTTTTGCTTGATTGCATGTAATGGAAGTGCCCCATATTTTACTGCAAAATAAGTACTCAATTCATTATCATCAGGCAAATGTATAATGTACGCCAGCACCACCGAGAGCTGGGCATAGACCCACGTGAGCATGACTTGGGAAGTAGGGCTCTTCACCAGGGACCCTTGAACTTTAAAGAAAGGAACTCCTCTTTGCCTTCTAATTGATCATTTAGACCATTCCTGGCTAAGTCTGCCCACATGCAATTACCGGCTAATTCAGGCAAGGAAAAATGTAAGCCATTCAGACCCAAGCCGAGCCGTTTCCTTGCGTGGGCTACTGGCGGGCTTATGGGGACTTGCATCCCCGCTCTGTGAACCCAGCTTGGAAACACAAGGCTCTAGTTGTCCCAGGCTGCCGGGGCCCGTGCGAATAGAAAGAGGCTAAAGCTGGGGTGACTAGGAGGACAGGAGCATGCCGGGGAGGGGGGCGGGGGAATATTTGAACACTTAACAATAAGGAAATACCCTCAGACCAGGAACAGGGCTTGTGGGGTTTACAGTCTTCGTAAACTGGCCAAGGCCTTGGGATAATTAGTAACTCTTACTGGTCTATCTTCATTATAGAATCTTCCCAAATATGCCAGATGGGCCCAGCCTGTGTGCCCGCCTCCGGAAGTCTGTGCCCATTGCACCAAGCCCCCTTCTAGTCTGAGGAATTCATTTTGATCCCCGTCTACGCCACCCAGAGTTGGGCCTCCCATATTGTCCAAAGCATTTCCTTCCAGCTCCTAAACATTTCCTCCTCTGCGGTCCATCTGCAGTGGCTCAGAACCCATACAATTTACAGATAATACATATTCCTTTGGATATTGTGCTCTAAGAAAGCATTGTTAATCAGCATAATGAGCACTTACGGTGCAAAGACAATGTACTCTTGTGTCAATTGATGTGGAAGGATACAATTATTTTTTACGTAAGTAGTGAAATGTTATGTTTTTCGTTAGGAAATACTAAATAGTGTAATATTTGTTTGTTCTCTTTTAAATTCCTGATAGCAAATCAATGTAAGTCGTTGCTTTGTCTCCTTGAGCAGTACTAAAGCGGGTGAAATAAGAGCAGTGAATACATTTAAACCTGCTTTGCTATCCGAATTTTCTCCCTTGGCTTGTGTTTTATTTTCCTATATTCAAGCTGCAAATGCACACTGTAAGGAGTGTCCTTATTAAGAGCACTCCTTTTTGTGTTTTACACTTACACGGTCCAGGAGAACACCTCGGAGCACTTGGGAAGTTTCATCACAGGTCTAACTTATCAGCATATTGTTTCAAGACTGAGGCCTTAGACTCAGTCCAGAATCCCAGGGCCTGCGCCTGCTTTTCTCACCCTGTCATCTCCTTTAGAGGTTTTCCTCTAAATTCTCCTGCTCAATACACGGCCATGGTTTTGAAGGGGGAAAAGGCTCCAGAACAATAAATAAACCAAACTTAACCTCTGTCTCTAAAACAATAATAATAATAACCTGAGACAAAAAATATAGTCTCTATAGGCTCACTCTTTTTCTTTTCTAAATTTAAGTTCATGGATTGTTTAATAGTTAATATATAAATGGTACAAAATTCAAGAAGCATGAATGAATATCCCTGCCCCCAACAGCCAATCCTCCTCCCTAGAGGTTACTATTTTGATCCATTCCTTATAGTCCCTTCCAGAGATAATCCAGCCATAAAAGCATCAACATACATATAAGACTATGGGGGATTTTTAAGAATATAAATAGCATATTATATATTTTGTCAGGCTCCTTGCTTTTTCCACTTAATGTGATATGTTGGAGATTATTTTACACTGAGTGTGAAAACCTTTTACATTTTAAAGATGAGACTGAGCACTCTGTAAACCCAAAGGCCCATCTCTGGTCCGCTTGGGTGCGGAAATGAAAGCCTTACCCAAAGGTAGTGATGCTACATAGGTAGTGACTTCAAAAGTCAGGGACTGAGACCTACTGGGTGGGGAATAGGTCTCACAGGACATGTTACCGGAGACATTCTCATGTGCCCTGCACTGATTTTTTTTGTCAGTCTTCCTTTGGATTATCGTGGTGAGTGGTGTGCAGTTTGATTACGCTTTCGTTTGTACATCATTACGAGGGCTGCTAATGTGAAATCGACTAAGTACCCTAGCGTGTTCTGCTGCAAGCCCAGCAGCCACATGCTGCTCCTCTGTCAGTCAGGAGGCTCCGGTTTCACATGTGCAGGCACAGAGCTGACATTTGCAAAATCTGGGAGAAGGGCTCTTTAACAGCACATCATCAGCGTTGCCCGAGTTGGTTGCAATTTGCAATTGCTGCTCTCGGTACTTTTTAATTATGAAATACTGTTAGCTTAGCTATATCATTATCAATTTATTTTGTTGTGGGTTGCCTGGTTAACCCTACAAAGTGTACTGAAGCCTATTTGCATCAACAGTGTCCTGGGGCTATAATTTTCCAATAACTAGGCTCTCAGACATGTATACATTGTGGTTCAAATATGAATTATCCATACTCCAGTGCTAGAGCAAAGGCATACATAATCCTCTCCCCCCAAATTAGCACCAATTTATTTTTCCACTGGAAAATGAAACTAGACAAAGTTGGTAGGTCAAGCAGTTTGGTCCTAAGTAGAGGCTGACCGAGAGGAATTTGAGACCCACTGCCTTTAACACAGTCCCACCTCAGGAACCCTACCTACATAAAATATCCTAGATATGCAAAAGGGATATGTCCTAAAATCTTCGCTAATGTTATTATTACATACAGTGTTCCCCCCGTGAAATTCACTTAGGTCTATTGCAAGATTCATTATGAGTTTCTGTGGATACAGAAAACAAGAGAACTGCAGTGAGATGCAAGTGCTGGGTAGGAGATGGACTCACTCACCAGCTAAGGGACCTGCATCTACACACCGGCTTCCCAACATTTTTGCAGGTTCAGGTCTCAGCAAAAGACAAGTTAGCGTGTACAAGTGGGTCATTGTCATAATTACAAAGACTATATCTGCCAGACTGTTACTATGTTTTTCCCTCTCTTTTATACCCCAACTAGCTCCAATATTTTTCAGAATTTGCTCACACTCCTGCTTTACTATGGTACTGACTGCGTATGTGCCTATGTGTTCACGATCGCAAGGCACCGTGAGGGTGCTCAATGCAAGATGAGCAGCCCCCACACCATACCTGACAACCTTCCTCCCTTCCCACCGGTGAAGCATCTCGAAGTGAGTTCTGTGGGTTGTTAATAGATGTTTAGTGTAAAAAATGTCATAATTCAAATAAGTTTGGGAAACAGGGTAAAGAAATTTAAATTCACTTTCTATAGTGTTGGTTTTCATTTTTACTTTTTGTTT